TTTGTTTTCTTTTCCCTGAGGATTTAAAACAAAAGAGTTTGGCTCTACACCTAGGGGCATCCTATCTCATGTAAACAGGGCCTAAAATGTCGCATTGATTACTTGATTACGCCAAGTTAGGACTCATCAGTGTCTTTTATCCATGTATTGACCATGTTTGCCCTACATTTTTCACAGCTCCTCTCTTTTCACTTTATCTTTAGTTTGATTCTTATTCTTGGAAGAATTATTTCTTATTCTTTGTACCACTGGAATTTCAGCATCTAAACAATCTATAGAATATGTGGAAAAATTATTAGGAATGCAAACAATTAAAGAATTTGTTAAAAAAAATCATTTGCTCTTACTTCGATCACCGACGTCAAGAACTCTTTTRCGACAGAACCAGTCCGTCAAGTCACGTGATTGTTTCTTCATGAACCAGTAMACGATTGTGTGCTGATGTTTAACCAATAGTTTATGACACTGAAAAMGTTTATTCACATAAGAGATGGCCATAATTAAGAATCGATCAATGAAGAATCAGGCTAGGGTGTTAGGGTGAAGTTCAATGTTTTGTGCGAGCGTCTCATGTGATAACCGAAACTAAAGTATGGTCGGGGTTTATTTCTTTGAATCTATATTCAAATAACGATTGGTCTTCTATATAGGTGTTGGGGTAACGGGACTGACATACTTAGTATGACAAATCATTCTGATCGGGAAACCATTTAATTATAGCTTTTTCACAGGTAAAGGCAGCTGACTACGGAATAATCCATGGATTTCATGCTTTGTGTCAACGAGCTTCTGGCCTGGATAGCGATACAAGCGATAMTTGGTCCAACTTGAATGTCCACCCCATTATCCACCCTCCTCTATATCAAAAAAAGAAAAAGAAAATACCTTTTTTTGTAGCCTTCCAATTTCTCCCGTTGGGTCATCAATACCATCTTCAGACGTCAAAAACGTGAACTTTTTAATCTTTGAACCTTTCATAGCGTCTTCGAGTTGGCGTCTAAACACACTCTTAACTACAAATAAAGAATCCAAGATAAAAAGGTCGACAAAAAATAAAATGCTTTTTTTCTTTTTTGACACTACACGAGCATCAATTTAGGTGCAAGATGTCCAATACATACCTCTCCT